AGCCAAAATAGATGTCCATAGCTTTCTACTTCCTCAAAAGCTTGCCACCTCGGAGCCACTCTGGCCAAGTATCTGAAGTCAAGCCAGAGAACCTTCCTAACCTTACCCCTATCTCCCCTTCTCCCCATACCAGACACAAGAGTTTCCTCTGGAGCACCCTTCCCCTGGATGCAATCAGCCATCAACATAGACACAGACATGGGTGGTGGTATGTGTGTGTGTGTGTGGGGGGGTGCATGGCTCTAGACCCAAGGGGTCCACTAGAGCTACTATTGGACACCCCTCCTCAGCCCCCTGCTGATTTATGACTCCAAAGAATCAAAGGTGTTTATCTACACACATTTTAACGTCACAGGGATGAGACAAGGATAGCGGAGAGACTTCTGCAGCAAGGCTCCAATTCTAGCTCTGCCCCTTGGCAACATCACCTCCACTGTAGAGAACAGAGCAGCCAGCAGAGGCTCTCTCCATGATTTCCCAGGCTCCTCTGGTAGCTATCAATCACTCTGGTCTTTCTTCACCACCACCTTCAGCTAGTCAAGAATAGAAGTCTATTGGTCTCTTTTAAAATGACTGAAGGAGAGGGATAGTGGCCTTCTCTCTCATCACGATCCTTCTCAGGCTGGTCAGCTGGTCCTCCCACCCCCAGAGTCCTGCGCTCTCCTGACAAGCAGTAGCAATTGGGTTTTCTTGGAGAAAGCCCATGATCCACTTGAGATTCATCTTCGGTTTACTACAAGTACTAACCTTGTAGCATACAGCGTTGAGCCGCTAAGTAAGAGCCTTCTTTCTCTGGGTAGAAATTCCAAGTCTGTGGGCTCCAATGAGGGGGTTTCAGAAAGTTTGTGGGAAAATGGAATGAAAAGGTAATGGAGGTCCCCCACCAAATGTTTCGAAACCCCTTCATATCACCCCCATCCCCACCACACACACTCCCTCCCCCCAGGTGCTGAGGGAAATCATCCAGCTGCCACAGAATCTCCATGTGGACAAGGGGAACGAACATTCCTTGGATCCCAATCCAAGCCCCTGCTAAGACTGGAGAGAGAAAAACTCAAAAAACCAAACTCACGGCCATCAAGCTGATGCTGACTCATCGTGACCTTACCTTGTAGGTCACTGTGCCATAAGGTAGAAGTGCCCCTTCGAATTTCTAAGACTGTCACTCTTTATGGGAGTAGAAAGCCTCCTTTCTCCCAAGGAGAGGCTGGGTGGTGGTTCCGAACTGAGGGCCTTGCAGATTGCAGCCCAATGAGTAACCACTATGCCCCAGCGCTCCCTGGGGGGAGAAGGGTCTTGCCTAATATAGCTTAGACAGATGGAGGCTGGAAGTGCAGAATAGCACTCAGAAATGAGTATTTCTTGGATTTAAGACATGCAAATTAACCAAGAAGCATTTAGTACGACGTGCCAAGCAGTTGGTCAGAGTCCCAAGCAGGCTGCACCTGTGTCTGCACCTCTCAGAGAGCTCTGCCCTGCTTTCGGCCCTGCACAGGGTACCTGCCTTTCCTAGTCCTCACCCGTTGTAGGACCTTGCACACACCAGGTGCCCGGGCCACTGAGGACAGTGCGCGTGTGTGCCCACGCCCAGTACTGGCTCGGGTCTTGCACAGAGCAGAGGTCAGGAACTGTGCCCTGAAGTAAAGTTGCTCCTTCACATGTTTCCTGAACCCCGAATATATAGTCATCAGGCCCTGAAGCATGACTGAAAGCCCAGCCCCTGCACCCAATAGAGTCAATGGAGCCCCCGTAGACATGACGCGAAGAGCCACTTAGGTGAAACGACCTGAGACTGACCCAAGGAAGAAGTCGACCAATGGTCCAGGCACGGGGTGCTTCTGGCAAAGCCTGCCCTTATTTGGCGGACAGAAGGGCTCAGTTACTGGGGAGGAAGGCAAAGGCAGGAAATTATTTTCTCCACTTCCTTCATACTCTGGCATGGCCAAAGGTAAGGGAGAAGCTGCATCCTAGCCTGAAAGAGACTGGGACGCCAGCCTGGCCACCAGCTCTCTCCTCCCTCCCACCCCATCTCTGTGGCTCTGGCAGCCATGTTCATCCCGATGGATTTTCTCAGGAACACATCACGCTCAGGATGCCCCAATGCCTGGGGACGGGAGACCTAGACAGGAAGATGGATTTGCAGAAGAAGTTTAGAGGTAGAACTGTTAGTTTTCGGAACTTTCCCAAAGTTTAAAAACAAAACCCAAACATATTCTTTATCTACCTATCTCTCATCTATCCATCCATCCATCCATCCATCCATCCATCCATCCAT